CTTGTTCATACTGTTAAACTGTAACTTCTAAAAAGCTTGTTTGTAATGCTTCCTATATGTTACATAATTTATGATAGAGGAGGTTGAAGATGCCTTTGAATGTTTTGAGGGTACCAAGAAAGGTTACTTGGATAATTTCCATTCTTTCTACTTAATTCAGAAGGAGTCTGCAAAGAACAGCTTGTATCCTTGCTGTGAGGTGCAAGATGAATCTCTGCATTCTTTATCCCAGAAATGCTAAATAAAGTGCGCAATTTATTCACATGGACTTTCATGCAGTAACATCCAAAGATTCTGTAATAACAGCCCCCAAGACCCTCCATGTTTTGTTTATGTGGCTGAAAGAGAACAATTTATTATTTTATGTTGGAGAGTGATCATATTCACTGCATTAAGTTTATTTCTGTTTACGTTGGTAATAAATTAAGTGTACTGTATGTCCTGGCCCTTGGCCCTGGTCTGATTCTGCCACACCATTTAAAGGTTAAATACTCTGCTCAAAAATAACTTGATAGTCCTGTTATAAAGGATGCCATTGCAAATCCTGACTTTAAAAAAAGATCAATGGAGTCTAAGAACACAAGAGCTGGTTAACAGCGAAGCTTATTTGTTACTCTTTTTCTCTAGAAGTTCAAGGTATATATGTAGCCTTCCCTTCTCCAATTTCTTTTTTGAAATAATTATGTGAGGTAGGTGGGGCCAAAAGAAGGTGACTGGTCCCAAATCTTTAAATGAGTTTCCATGGTTGAGGGTGGACTTAAACCCAGAACCTAGAACTCTTTGGCCCTAATCTGTTCTTCAATGGCTAAATGACACTAGCTCTTGGCCATCTTTGAAATGCTTAAGATAGGCTTTGATTCCGGAGAAAACACTAGTATATTCATTATATCATGAAAGGACTTACTAATCAATTAATTTGTGTCTATGTGCAACATCTCATGTCTTTTCTTTTTCTTTTTTATCTTTTTGCAGAACATTATAACTATGCATCTTCAAATATAAATTCAACTTTGCCTCTAAATGTGGCACATTCTTCACTGCCAACTCCATGTCACGGGCTTCAAACGTCTATTCCAGTCATTCCAAATGTCTCATCAGCTAATCATCTTTCAGGTTATGGAGGGCATGCTGACAATAGCACTGCTGGATATTATTTGCCTCCAAGTGTCAGACCTAATGGAGTGCCAGCATTAGAAAGTCCTAGAATTGAAATAACCACCTACTTGGGACTTCATCAAAACAACAACCAGTTCTTCCATGAAGCTGAGGTTGATGAATCCACCCAAAACACCAAGAGATCGCCTTCTACTGCTACTTTGAATTTACCAAATATTGAGGCTTACAGGGACCCATCTTGTCTGAGCCCAGCCAGTAGCCTGTCTTCCAGAAGTTGCAATTCAGAAGCGTCCTCCTATGAATCAAATTATTCCTATCCTTATACTTCACCCCAGACATCTCCTTGGCAATCGCCATGCGTATCACCCAAGACCAATGAAACTGAGGAGAGGTATCAGCGAAGTTTAGTTCCCTGCACGCTCCTTAATTCACCCCGACATTCTCCTTCCACATCTCCCAGAACAAGTATTACTGAAGAAAACTGGCTGAGCTCTCGCAACTCCAGACCATCCTCTCCCTGTAATAAGAGAAAATACAGTTTGAATGGCAGACAGACATCCTACTCTCCACATCACTCCCCAACCCCTTCTCCCCAGAATTCTCCAAGGGTTAGTGTGACTGATGAGACATGGTTGGGAAACACTAACCAATATACCAGTTCAGCCATTGTCGCCGCAATTAATGCCCTCACTACTGACAGCACAATAGATATGAATGATGGAATTCCTATCAAGTCTAGGAAAACTGCAGTAGATCATACTCCCTCCATGGCACTCAAGACTGAACCTAGTGGAGATGATCAGGGGACCATATCACCGATTACTGATTTATCACCAGAAGAGTTTCCTGGGTTCCAGCACATCAGGAAAGGAAGTTTCTGTGATCAGTATCTTTCAGTTCCCCAGTATCCCTATCAGTGGGCCAAATCAAAGCCTTTGTCGCCAACATCATACATGAGGTACAGTTTCTTTAGATGTAATCTTTAAAAGAAAAGTCTCTATTTTCTCTTTTGCTTTACCTCCTCCCAATAATGCCTTTGTTTTTAGTACTTCAAACACGGTAGTTATAGACAATCAGAATCATTTTTATAATGCTAACTTTTTGCTTTTGTTACATGGTATTTTAAGACTCATTTTCACTTTGGTTGGTAAAGGCAAATTCAAACCAGCTTCCCTAGTGTAAGGGTTCCAAATAGCATCCAAAATAGAATAAGAATCAGGGGCAAGAGGTCCCTCAAAATTCCAGTTTATTAAAAGAGCCATGTTGGCACATCTGGGAAAACCCAAATCTGAAAGCTTCCAGGTTTTCCCACCCAGTTGAAAGTTCAAGATCCTGTCCCAACACCCACAAGTCTATCACATGGTCCAATCCTTCATTGCCACGAAGAAAGATTCCTTCCTTCCACAGCTGTCCAGGTGCAGGGACAAAAGCAACCTTGACTTTCGAAGAATGTTATTATGGCTACAGATCATCCAACTCTATATAATCACCCTTTCCCATTCTCCCACAGTAGAAAGTGTGGCAGGCCTGAAATCCAAAAGGCAAAAGATAGCTTCCAGGCCTGACACCTAGATTGATAGATATACCTTAGTTTCCTATCTGGGTAGTATTTTTAAAAAATCCCTAATCAAAGCAGTTACTTTTACAAAATTGAAAATAGATGGTGAACGCTTGATTACATGGGGAATATACCACACAATGAAAAATAGAATTGCAGTAACACTACAGGCTTACTTTTAGCTTTTTTTGTGATATTTGTTTTATTTACTATTA